CCTGTCCCGCAGTTAGTATTGCCAACAGTAAAAGGCATCACTCTGTTTGCAGGTAACACAAGGAACAACATATTTTTGACCCCGATATTCTGTTTATTTTTCATTTACGACACATGCCCTCGTTTTTATTCCAAACCAGAGGAAAATAAAGGCAGATCTATCTTCACTGGGGTCCAGGCTAAAATTTTGCCACAAATACACACGCTGGTTTATTTGGGGCCAGTTTTCCATCAACAGAAAACGACAGCCGAGTTTCAGCCACCGTAGAATCAATTGTGTCGATTGAGTTGGAGGAGCTTGGCAATACAGTAAGAGAAGAGAGATCGCAGACAGGCGCTCCCCAGTGGTTGTGTCCTGCTGGTAGCCAGGCTGGCTGAAATCTTCTCTGCCTTGCTGTTCCTCAGCCCCCCACGTCTGGCTCCCCAGCTCCAAAGGGACACAGCCAGGAATGTGATCAGGACACACACACACACACACACACACACACACACACACACACACACACACACACCAGAATTTGAAGGCAGGCAGTCGTGCTGAGTTGGCAAGGGACACATGAGTTCTTTTAAGGGGTCTTGGAATGCCTTGCCTCCGGTGCTGAGGACCAAGAGTGCAGTGGCCCGAGGAAAAGCACAGACATCCAAGCATTGGCCAGGACAGGTGGGTCCAGACAGGCTACCCTTGAGGCATCTTTGGGCACTGATGGACACAGAAAGCCTGGCCAGCACGGTTTGCAGTCAAAGGCAATCGGCAATCGTGCCTCCCTCCCTCAACCAATGGCACATCCCCCACGCCTTCTGCACTGAATATCTGAAATTCTCCCAGCTCAGCTGAAACCTTCCGGTTCTAGAAGTTGTAGCCCCTTCTCCATTCCAAGGACTGCTAGATTTAATGATCTACCTCCAGACTCAGCTGAATTTCCAAGCTTTGTGCTCCCTTCTTTCCTCCAACACCCCAGGGGACAAGGGCAGCCACCACAATCATCCAGGCACTTTAGGGATGCTTGGCCCAGAAGCTCTTGAAGGAACCCTGGCTTGGGGAAAGAAGACAAGCTTCAGCCTTTCTTTTCGAACTACCTACCATCTGTCTTTAAGCTCCGGACTGTCGGTTTGCTCAATTTTGCAAACTAGATAAATCTAGGTCTTTAATACCCTTCCCATCCCTCAGTCTTCCTTGCTGACCTTTCAAGCAGTAGAAGATACGGAGGAAAGAGCGCCCTTGGTCCTGAACAAAGCCGCCTCTGTCTCCTCTGCCGGCTAGATTCTAGGGGCGTGAGTCCAGGTCAGGCTTAGAGAGCACAGAGGCAGTCAGAGACCGGGGCAAGAAGAGATTCCCTGGACACCTGCTCTGAGGGAGAAAGGAAACCATCCAAAGTTACACACTCTGGCAACATAAAAGACTTATTTTTTTTCTTTTTAATTAATTCGATTCCACAACAACATTAAATGTGACAATATTTTGTGGAGGTTTTTTTTTTTTTTTTTTTTTTTTTTTTGCTTTGTTTTCTTAAAAAGGGAGGGGACTCTAGCAGAGGACAGGGAGGGAAGGGGAAACAGACTACTCAGGAACGACAGAACAACAGGTGTAGCCAACGGGAAAACAGAGCAAGAGGCCCTGTGGAGTTGAGGGTGAACTTTACAAGAAAACTGTACATTTATCAAATAAGTTAAGATTCTCCTACGTTGATTGTCCTTCACTTAAAGCGCTCCACTCTGCCTGGCTTACTCCTCTGAACATTGCCACCCTAGCTTGCTTTTTCCTCCCCACTCTCCCCTGCTGAATCTTCCCTCTACATTAATGATTATGCTGGGGCATGGTGGTCTTGATCCCTACAGGGGAAGGGGCAGGGCTCCTGGGAGATTTTGGACACTATTGCACAGGTCAAAGCACAATAGTTGCGGCAAAGTAAAAATGGGAAAGGATAAAATGTATTTTTTTTCCTACCAAAAAAAAAAAATGGAAAACAATTTCTCAAGCAGGTAACACAGTAGTCATAGTGATGCTAAGTAACAATTTTCGGACCAGTGACATACCACTAAATAAATGCTAGTGATAAATAAGAGCACTGGAACCCAGCCAGATGTGGGGTTGTTCCAATTTTTAAAGGTCTAATTTGGGGCTTTTGTCTTTTCCTTTTAAACGTTTGGTTAGAGAATTCTTAAGTTACGAACTGAGACGAATGACGTTAACTGTCGCAGATCGACCGGCCGAGTAGGGATCCCACCAGAGGTTACTTAGATTTTGAAAAACCGGGGTGTGTGTGTATGGTATAGCTGATTAGGGGTGGGAAAAGAAGAACCATACCCAGATATCCAGAAATAAATATGAATTCAAAATATGCATTCTCTCTCCGGATTTTGAAGACAGTTCTATAGGAAATGAATAAACTAAAGGAAGCAGGGTTCCGTGCTTATTTTCCTTCTGTAAAAATACCCCCCCTAAAAAAAAAAAGCCACAGCGCAACGGAAATTTAAGGGGAGGGCTGCACATTTATCAAAAAACTTGCAGTTGGAAGTTTTGACCTGGTAATTTCGTCGCCCTCCCACCCCGTTTTCTCTCAATGGTAAGCAGAACCAAAAATAAGAGGAGAAGCGCCTCAAATTCATAGGAATGAATTGCACGAAAATACATTGCAAATACTTACAAAATGCTATTGGGGGGTAGGAGGCAAGGCAGTGAGCCCAAGCCCGGTTCACAAGGCCGCTGGCCACACCTCGGCGCCCTTGGCCCAGCCCAGTCTCCTCCGGGGTCCCGGAAAGGTGGCCCGGTGCTCACTCCCTCTCCCCTCTCGGGTCTCACACCGGCCGTAGCAGCGGCACGGACGAGACCACTGGGTGCGAGTAGTAGACTGGGTGCGGGAAGGTGAGCAGCGGCTGGCTGACCGGTACCGGGGCCCCCGCGGCCGCCGCCGCCCCCTCGGCGGCAGAGTTCTCGTGGTAAAGGATGGGCACGCGCACGATGCGCTGCGCTGCGGCGTGGCTCAGGTTGGCAGCCTCCAGCTCGGCCGCCAGCTGTCGCTTCCACTTGTTGCGACGATTCTGGAACCAGATCTTGACCTGCGTCTCGGTGAGGTGAAGCGACGCGGCCAGGCCAGCACGCTCCGAGCTGCTCAGATAACGTTTCATGTCGAAGGTGGATTCGAGTTGGAAGACCTGGCTGCGGGAGAAGACCGTGCGCGTCTTCTTCTTGCGGCACGCGGGCTTCTTCTCGGGACTCTCGGCTCCCGCCTTCCAGTCCTCTGAGCCCGGAGTCGCCGAAGTCGCCCCTACAGTCGTCCCTGCCGCGCCAGACACGGCCTCGCCTTCTTTTTTGGCTTCCTCTGAGTCGCTCTCTTCCAGAATGATCTCGTCCGGGCTCTTGGAGTCCAGCTCCTTGTGGTCGGGGTCAGCCTTGAGCAGAGGCTCTGGGGAGTCACGGTCGGTGCCGGACGCAGGGGAGGAGTCTCGCAGGAGGGCCTTCTCCGAGGCTGCGGGGACAGACAAACAGACGCACACTCAAGCACAGCGACACAATCTTGAGAGAGGGGGGAGTTTGGGGGCAGCAGGCGCAATCCACAATTGGCCTTCGGGCCTCAGCTTTCCAGAGGTCTTCCTCTGTCCCCTCTGGGCTGCCCTGGGGGCGCCAAGACCTAGGACTCCCCTGCCTCCCAAAGCACCTGCGAGCCGATGATGGCAGCAAGGCCGCTCCATTTATCCCACGTCTCCCGTGCCAGGGGCCAAGGGAAAAATTATCCGTAGTTAGGGTTCGTCCCTGCCTTCCAGGCCTAGTCCCCTACCCAGGCCATCCCAAGCCACCCATTCCTGCTGGAGGCCACTTTTCCCGGGAAGCGCAGCGCCTGGGCCTCCAACTCTCCCTCTTTTCTCAGCAAGTGGGATTGGAATCCCGGGCCTCGTAACCAAGCGCACACGAAAGATGAGGGCTAGAGGCCGGGGGAAGTTGACCAAAACTCGGGTTTGCAGGTGTCAGGGCATCCCATAACTGTAGTGACCAGCCCGGGACGGGGATAGGACTAGCCGGGAGGGAGGGAGGAGAGAGCGAAAGTTCAAAGAGAGGTCGGTACCTTCTGGTCGCGGGAGGTGGCCGCCGGCGGGGGTCAGGGTGTAGGGGTACCACCAGGCCGGGGAGCGCTCCAGGTAGTGCGCGGGCAGGGCAAACCTCTGCGCTGGGATCTCAAAGCGGGGGAAAGCCAGGTCGCCCACCTGCGAGAGCGCAAAGCCCGCGGCACCTTCCAGGGCACCTTTGGCTGCGGCGGCGGCAGCGGCGGCCGCGGCGGCGGCGGCCGAGGCCGGCGCGAAGAGCGTTCGTGGGGGCGGCTGAGGTTTCGGGGGCGGCCGGTGGTGGTCTCCGTTGAGCAGGTTCCTGATGGAGAACGGGGATTCCTTGGGCGCGGGAGGCTGGGGTGGCGGCTGCGGGGGCGGCGCGCTGGCAGTGCCCGAGGCGTCCGGCCCGGGCTCCGGCATGGTCCCCAGTCCTCCGGGTCCCACGGAGGGAGGGAGCGGGACAGGCGGGCGGCCGGGCGAGCAGGCTAGGGGCCGGAAATCAGACCATAAACGGAACTCAACTATGGGGCTCAAAGTCGGGGGCTGCCCCGGGCGCGAATCGAGCCGCGGGAGGGCGGGGTGGGGACCGGGCCGGGGCGGGCTCGCATGGGGGAGGGGTCCAGAGGGGCGGGGAGCGGACCTGCCTCTGCGCGGAGGGAGCTAGGGGGCCGGGTAGAAGCTGCGGCTCCCCGGGAGGAGGCTGCGAGAGCGGTCCCCGGCTTGGGATGCGTCAATCCGGCGCCGGATGCTAATGATGAAATCAAAATGTCATCCAAGTTAAATGCGGGGAGTATACGGCGATTGGGCGCGTACAATGGCAAATGGGATTAGGCCGGCCAAGGCGCAGCCGAGCCCGGGCCCCGCAGCCGCCTCTGCCACCGCCCCCCTCCTCGCCTTCCCTCGGATTTTGGCGCTTTGGCTTCGGGCTATGAGAACCCGCCTGTTATTGGCTTTATATAGTCCAATTAGGCAGCAAATGAGGACAAACCTATTAGCACAAAAGGATATTGGCTCTCGCTAAAGAGGCACTCGGAGAGCTCCCACTAAAGCGGGAGGCGCACGAGGGACCCCGAGAAGGAGACGCCCCCGGAGGGCCGGAGCTCACCGACCTAGGAGAGTCTGGAGCCAGCACCTCCCTCTACCCCCTGCGGCTCGGCCCCGGCTGCGGTCCCGCGGAAGGGGGAGGGGCAAGCCTGCCTGGCCCGAGTCACCTCGGGGTTACACGCGCTCGGTTAGCAGCCGCTGCTCTCCCACCCCTCCCGGCAAGGCAGGGGCCAGCTGTCCCCGTGCGGCTGGAAAGCCACGGTCGTGCGGGCCCAGGAAGTAGGGCGCCACTTCGGCCCGGGACAAACTCAGGTCTCTCTTTCCCCAAAACCTGCTAAGCAGGGCGAGGGCAAGAAGAGGGAATTAGGGTTTCCCACCCACCGTCTAGCGGAAAGGAAGAGAGTTCTTGTGTCTGCGGGCTCTGGAATCCGCGTAGCCTTGACCTTTGGCCCTGAGAACCCAGGAGTCAATCTGAATCACCCCGGAGTAGGAGTGAATAAGCAACTCGGCTCTCTCTTGAGAGCGCAGGACCCTCCTACGCCCGCGCTTCCCCCTTGTGAGACGGTCGGGGTAGCGATTTCCCGCACCGACGGCTGCACTCCGAAGGACACCACTCTCTTCTGAATGACCGTGTCCACGGCTCAAGGACCGACTCCAAACCTGCGGTCCGAAGACAGCACTTCCCCAAGAAGTTTCCGGGTGGCGTTTAGGAGCTACCTAATGCTTTAATACAGGCTCTGAGAATCAAAGGCGCAGCGGAGTACCTTTCTCAGTTGTGACTGTGGCAGCGACACCTGCAGCGTGTCCCAAGGGCCTCCAAGTCCCCGGAGAACCAAGGCGGGCCTCTGAAGAATAGCTGGACTCCATCCGCCTTAACAGCTCCCTGAGTCGAACAGGAAAGGAAGCCCGAGAGACAAGCAGTTCAATTACAGATTTCAGCGACAAATAAAATAGAGCTGTTGGTGGGGTCCCTTCCCCGGGGATAGTTCCTTGGCCCGAGAGAGATGACAATCTGTCTCAGCCCTGGTGAAGCTCCCTTCACACCTGAGCTTTTTTCCGCCCCACCCCTCCCTTTCTTTTTTTTTTGGTTGAGCCTTGTTTAATTCAAGCTTGCCTTGCCTAGTGCAGACCTGACCGCTTTGGGTCCCCAAATGGGGAGTAGGTTTATTTTATTTTCCAGTCCTAGGGCTCCTGAGCCTCCTCCACCAAATCTTGACGGTCGTATTTAAAGTTTTGACATTCACCCCACAGTAACGAACCCTACATTTGCCTTGTAAGTAGCGCTTCCATGAATGGTTACTATTATTCCTCTGAGTTTGTACAAGGCTTTACGGGAATGCACAAGGGTACATCATCTAAAATCCGAGTTGGAGCCAATCACAACTCGGAGGCTCAATGGGTAATACGCTCGGATTTTATAGAGAAAAGGTGTCCAGAGAGGAGACCATACCTAAGGCACCCAACCAGTGTTGGTTAACTAGAGGTCATTTTCCTTCCCCCAAAAGGCAGAAAATGTTCTCTGCGAGCATAGGCAACGTGAGTTCGGTGCGCACAGCAGACCTGGTGGCCCAGCAGGCTGCGGAGATGTCCCCCAAGGGTGTGAGGGTCTGATGGAGAGCTGCCGCAGATGTGTGCACACTCGCGAAAGTTCCGACGCCAGAGGACTACTTTAAACTAGGGAAAGAGGAAACACTTCCCATTTCTTCGAAAGGCGGTCGGTCGTTGTGAGTCAGGGTCTACCCTACTCCCTGCCTACCATGCGAGACTGTGTGTTCAACCAACGTGTCTCGAAAAACAAAAACAACAAATAGACCCTCAGGAGCCCGCAGGCATGGGAGACGTTCTGTTCCAGGAAGTGGGCTTCTGACAGATGACAACTCTGGACCTAGAGGCACCGACCCAAGAAGAGTAGGAGGCAGCCTTCTCAGGTCTCCCGGCCCTATCCAGCATATGTGTCCCTTTCCTAAAGGGCGCTAGAGTGTGTGCAAATGTATGTGTTCACGAGAGGCAGCGTCCGGTTATTCGGCGTCAGCATCCTCAGCTTGACTTCAACAACAGAAAGCATAGAATTGCTCTTTCCTTTCCGGTTCGAGAAAGCTTGTGTCTTGGGCTTGGGTGCCTGAACAGCAATTCACTCGCTCTCTGGAGAGGCTGGGTCCCTCCACTTGCCAGCACCATGACGCCATGCAAAGTCAGGCAAACAGCGCCCTCTATGGGCTATTCTAGAGCCTACAGAAGAGGCTGAAGAAAACAGAACCTACGCTAAGTATTTAAAAGCCTAGGCTTTACTATCCCTATCACCCTTGGAAAACAAGCATTTTTTTTTTTAAATCTGAGTTATGGGAGAAACCAAGGGCGAAATCACCTGCAGGTCTCTGCAGATCTGTATCTAGCCACCTCTGGAAGAGGTCTCTCCTGCCTCTCATTCTCCTCTTGGTTTCCATCCCCTTCTAAGGCTTCCCTTGCAGCCTTTTCTCTACATGTGGTCTTGACTGCTGTCGACTCAGCTTCAGGATGCATACTGCATAAGGCAAAGGGCTGCCTTATTTATCTTTTGACAACACAGTGTACAGTTGGCCAGCGAGTGGGTATCTCAGTAAAGGCTTGTGTTAATGCTTACATTTCTGAATTAGGGGAGTGGGTAGGCAAGTACGTGGGTGGGTGGATGGGTGGGTTCACAATTCCCACTGCAGAGGATTGAATGCTTGGTAAGGGCACTTCAGATACCCTGGCAACATCCCCAAAACAGTCCTCCCAAAACAGTTTTTGAAGTGTTTAATGAAAATCTGGGGAAGTAACCGTGCAGCCTCCCTAATGCTGGGACTACACGCATGAGCAACCGCACTCAGATATGCTGAGGTTCTTTGACAGCACATTTAATAAACCCTACAGGATTTCCCAGGAACAGGACTGCTGAAGAGTGCCTCACAGAAGGTTTATGGCACATGGTCTGTGTAGAATCAGATCTCCACACCACTCCCTACTATGACAAGTGGCCAAGAGGGCTAACGGGGCCTGGAGAATGCTAATGACCAACACCAAACTTTTACACAAAGAATGAGGCTTGGCAAAGGGATGCTTAGAATTGCCCTCACACCCACCACACACACAACTCATATATGCATTTGCGCACAGTCAAGGTGGCAAGCAGATTGTTCTCCAAGGGAGGGGAGCGTTGACATGTTCTCTGGGACCTCACCTAAGGCAGAGGGCTTCCTTCTGCCGCCAGAGTGGATGAGTTCTTCTTAGATGCAGTATACAGACTTAGAGAAAGGGTGGGAACCAGCTAAGCTTTTAGCCAAAGCCGCAAGACCCATACTGGAGGACCTCACACTAACAGCTACAGCTTGCCTTGTTCCTGATGGCTACATTTTTACCACCTAAATCTCCTGAATTCTGTGGGTTTTTTTTTTGTTTTGTTTTTTTTTTTTTTGTTTGTTTTTTTTTTTTTTTTTGTTTTGTCTTTTTGAAGGCAGAATGGATTAAAGCCTGGAGCTGTGATTCCCCCATAGAAACTCTGACCTGCCTCCAGGGAAGCCCCTGCCCACCTTTTTCCATGCTACTTGGAATACTACCAAAGGCTCCTGCTTTGGCTAATGGATGTGACCTTGAGGAATTATATAATCCTTAGGGATGGACTGTAGTCATGTTGTCCTTGATGACAAATATGTCTTGAGTCACATAAGGGAACGTATTGTACAATTCCTAATAAGGGAAATTATTATGCAAAGCTAATCTTAGACATCAATCATTGGTTGGGTCCTCACTGCATACTGGCCACTATCCCAGGGTGGGGCAGGCAGTACTATTATTCCTCCTTGAAAGATGAAGAAACTGAAGCACACGATTGTATGACAAAAGGCAACAGATCTCACACGGAAACACAGCCTCGTAGCATTGCTACGAAGTCACTTGGGGTAGATTGTGAGTGCTGGCTATGGTTATTGTTAATTCTCCTCACTCTTCTCTTGAAAAAGATTTATTGATTTGTTTGTGTGTTTACTCGTCTGTTGTTTATTTTGAGACGGGGGGCTCACTGTGCAGTTCTGGTTGACCTGAAACTCATCGGGATCCACTTGCCTCTGCCTCCCAAGTGCTGGGATTAAAGATGCCCACACAGACTATATTGTTCCTGTCAGTTTCTCTGAGAAAACTAAGATTCCTAACTTTGGTAGGTCTCCTCCATTCTCCCACTCCTCTTCCCACCTCTGGCATCTTCAAGTCTTTCTTTCTAAATAGTAATCTTCCACACACCGTTACACACAGGTTGCTTTCTGTCTTCGGAGTTCTTTTCTTTCTTTCTTTCTTTCTTTCTTTCTTTCTTTCTTTCTTTCTTTCTTTCTTTCTTTCTTTCTTTCCTTTTTTTAGATTTATGTATTTCATTTTTATGTGTATGAGTGTTTTGCCTACATGGCTGTCTGTCTACTACATGTGTTGCTTGTGCTCACAGAGGCCAGATACAGGCATTAGCTCCCCCTGGAACGGGAGTT